TGTCAGAATTTCACTAATGAAAAACTAACTTTAAAAAGAAAGTCCATAAGAAAATGTAGTTTTATTTATAAAAATTAGATGCACGTAGCTTTTCAGAAACACACCGTAAATCAGACTCATTTATATGAGTATAAAAGGCAGCGCTGTTACTGTGGATTGAATGTCCTCCCCAAACTCATAGAAGTTTGATACCTATTGTAACAGTGTTAAGGAAGTGGGAAATCCAACTGTGGTATCTGAAAGGTGGGTCTTTAAGAGTTGATTGGATACTAAGGACCTTGCTTTCATGACTGGATTAATTCATTCATGGAGTAATGGGTTAAAGGTTTAGTGGACTGTCATAAGAGGGGCACTGGTGGCCTTGTAAGGAGAACAGGTGTGCACATTAGAGCACTCTTGCCATTCTCACCGTGTGATATCCTACATTGCCACAGGACTCTGTAGGAGATTCCCACCCAAAATAGGCCCTCATTAGATGTACCCCTAGGACCATGGGCCTCCCAACCTCCAAAACCCAGTTTCAGGTATTCTGAACATGGACTAACACAGAAAACTGGTACCATAAGTGAGATGTTGCTTATAAGAAATACTTGAAAATGTGGAAGCAGCTATGCAACTGGGTGATGGGAAGAAACTGGAAGAAGCTGGAGGAACAGGCTGGAGAAATCTTAGATTCCAGTGAAGGTTTAGAAGAAAAGAAGACCAGGGAAAGTTTAGAAGTTAGAGATTAGTTAAATGGTGGTGACCAGAATGCTGATACAAATACGGACTGTAAAGACCATTCAGAGGTGGTCTCAAATGTAAATTAAATGGAGCTTATTGAAAACTCGAACAACAGCCACCTTATTATGAATTGTCAAGGAACTTGGCTGGATTATATCCATGACCAAGGGTTTCATGGAATGTGAATCTTAAAAGTAATGAACCAGGGTATTTGGCAGAGGAAATATCTAACCAGCAAAACATTCAAGCAGCTGTATGGCTAATGCCAACAGGCTATGCTGAATTACAGCAACAAATGCATACCATAAAGCCAGAATTTATAATTAAAAGAGAAGCAAAGTGTAAAAACTTGGAAAACTCTCAGTCTGGCCATGTAAAGAATGAAAAGATATGTTCAAGAGAGAAAACCAAGAAGAGTGCAACTCAGCGACCATCTGTGAAGGAGATTAGTACAGAAGGAGGGGCTCATCGAGAGAACAGAAGAAAAACCTTGAAGGCATTTCAGAGATCTCTCAGGCTGCCCCTCCCATCACAGACTCAGAAGCCTAGGGAGACAATGGTTTTGGAAAATAAGACTGAGACACCCCCCTCAAACTTGCTGCCCAAGGCCACCTCAGGACGCTGCTCTGTGAACCCACACCCCAGCTGCTTGGGGAGCTCCAGCCATGGCTAAATTGTCCCCAGGTTCTGCTTGACCTGCAGTTTCAAAAGATACAAGCTGGAAGCCTTGGCTGCTTCCACATGGTGTTAAGTCTGAAGGCTTGCAGAATTCAAGAGCTGTGGAGTCATATCAGCCTCCACCCAGATTTTAAGGGATGTATGGAAAGAGATTTGTCATGGGGGCTGAGACACCACAGACAGCCTTCACTAGAGCAATGCCAAGTGGAAATGTAGGGTTGGAGTTGCAGCAGAGAACCCTGACAATGGCCATGCTCAGTGGAGTCGTGGGAGCAGGACAACCACCCACTCCCTAAAACTGTAGTCCTACTAAGCGTGCAACACCAGCCTGGGGCACCTGAAGCATGGGTCCAGGGAAGCCATAGGGGCAGGGCTTCCCTAGGACTTGGAGGCCCAACTTCTTCACCAGTGTGCAGAGGATGCCAGACATGAAGTCAAGGTAGATTGTTTTCCAGCTTTAAGATTTAATGCCTGCCCTCCTGGGCTTCAGGCATGCTTGGGACCTGTTAACCTTCATTTTGGCTCATTTCTCCCTTTTGCAAGGAGAATTTCTGTCTTAAGCCTGTCCTACCATTGTATTTTGGAAGTAAATAATTTTCCTTGATTTCAGAGATGGGACTTTGGACTTTTGAGTTGAAACAAATTAAGACTTTGGGAATGAAATGAATGTATTTGTATATGAGAAGGACATGAGTTTTTTTTGGGGGGGGGGGCAGAGGTGGAATGCTATGGATTGAATGTCCCCTCCAAATTCATTGTAGCTTTATCCCCATTGTAAAAGTGTTAAGAGGGTGGGAACTCCAACTACGGTATCTAAAAGGTGGGGCCTTTAAGAATTGATTGGATCATGAGGACCATGTTCTCATAAATGGGTTAATTCATTCATGGACTAATGGGTTAATGGCTCAGTAGGTTGTCACAGGAGTGGCACTGATGGCTTTATAAAGAGAGTAGGTATGCACATTAGAGAGCTATTGCCATTCTCGCCATGTGATAATCTGCATTGTCACAGGATTCTGTAGGGGGTCCCTACCAAGAATAAGGCCCTCACTCCCTGGACTGTAGACTTTCTAGACTCCAAAGAAGTCTAGAAAGACATAAACTTCATTTTTTAAAATACATTACCCAATTTTAGTTATTATGTTATAAGTGACAGAAAAGACCAAATCCAAAGTCAGGCTCCAAACGACCTGGGGAAAAAAATCCAAACATGTCTGAACCTCAAGGTCTTCATCCTCAAAATGACAATTTCTGTAAAGATCCTTATTTTTGAGATAATTCTTACCTTATAGCTTTGCAATGAAGATTAAATGAAGAAATAATTTTTTAAAAAAAACATTTTAGCACATTCTAAGCATGCAAAAATAGTAGCTTCAACTATTAATACTACAAAATGCATAACTAAAATTACACCCTAGACCAGAATAGATGCTAAAGAAAATTTGCCTTCACACATCTGAAAAACTTTCAATCTAATAATTGCAGACAGAAAGCATCCAGTTTTCTATTGTCCTTTGCAGTTCCTTCCAAATACTAACCAAATATATATATTCTGAGAGGATAATCTGCCATCTGCATAGCTCAGTGTTTCACACCTGTCATCTCACTGAATACCCCCAATGATCACACCGGGTGGTTATTATTACCCCCATTTACAGGTGTGGAAACTGAGACTCAGAGTTTAAGTCAGCTCCCCAAGGTCACCCTGCTACAAATGACTAAGACAGGATTTCAACCCAGCTTGACCACAAATACCCATGCTCTTAAACCCTTTTCTATGCTGGGAATTAAAGTGAATGGCAGTGAGGAGATATGAAGTTAGAGCCATTTTTCTACTTTAAATAAAGTTAATCCAGATCAACAGTTCTCAATTTTTTTGACCTAAAAATCCTTTTCCACTCTAAAAAAAGTACTAGGGACCTCATGAAGCTTTTGTTTATATGGGTTATTCTTATTGATGTTTGTCATATTACAAATTAAAGCTAAGAAATATTTCAATTTATTTATTTAATTTTAAAATAACAATAACAAGTTAAAACCACAATAATTTATTTAAAAAATAATTTAAAAATAATAATAAACATGTTAACATATATAACCAATTTTTATGAAAAATATCTGTTTTCTAAAATGAAGCAAAACCTTTCAGTGAGAAGAGTGACTTTAATGTACATGTTTGCAAATCTCCTTAATGTCTGGCTCAGTAGAAGACAGCTGGGCTTTTCTGTCTGCTTATGCTTTCAGCTTCTGGAAGACTCCACTGAATACCCATCAGACAATGAGAGTGAAAAGGGTAAATAACATCTTAGTATTATTATAAAAATAATTTGACCACTGCACCCTCCGAAAGATCTCTGGAGCCCTTAGGGGGTCCCAGCCCACACTTTAAGAACTAAAGTTTAGGTAACATCTTTAAGAGAACTGAGAAGTTCCATAGCCAACATTAGTCTGCAGTAATAACCCAGGCCCATCATTGTCTTGCCTGCTCAACCATGAAGTGTCTCTTAGTACTGTTCTGGAAAAGAATGATAAAATTTGTCATTTCTTACTAATGATAAACATTGAGTGGGGAAAATTTTATATATCACTAACCTAATACAAAAATGGTATAGGTCAGAATGATATCTATTTAATTCTTTTCAGAGATAGAAATTAATATATTTCTATTTTTACAGAATAAGAGAAGATAATCCTTTCTTGTACAAATGAAATGTAATTGAAGTGTCATTCTATTTTAGTGACATTAACCAAATTGATTAAATCTGCTATGTTAGTTAAGTGAAAGCAGTAACCAAATATTAGCAGACATGTACCTTAATAAAGTGGTGGATCACAGGAAAGCATTGGAAATCTTAAACAAGATGAGAACAATTTTATACAATATTTGGATACTGTTAAGACACATTAAAAGTTGAATCATTTGGTTATTTATAAGATTGCATCTTAGAGATATACTGGCTCCAAAATACACTTGTTCTTCCTTGCTTTAAAATCCAAGCCTAGAAATAAGGCATTTACAATTATATTTGGTTTTGTTAATTCATGTATTCAAATTCATTTTGCTTTACCATACTATTTCTACATGGAAAATGCTTATTTTAATGTAATTTTATTATTTCAAATAATTTTTAAACAATGTAATACCTTAGGTGTTCTGGAAAAAATTGTACCTTATTTCACAGTTTCAGCAGAGCTGACGAACTGAAGGATCAATATTACACCAAAAGGAAGACACTACATTTTTTAAACTGAAAATATTCATAGTGTGAAAGAACCCAAACTCTAAACGAAGATTTGATCTCCACTGTTAATTGAGCTGTACCCTCAAACAATTACTTGATTGTAAATTATACAAAAGTTATATACATGCATTGATGTTTCCAGGTGTCGAACTTGATAGAGAAGAAATATCACTGTATTCCTCTCAAGCTGATCCCTGGTTGAATATTTTACACATTTTAGTCGTGTTATTGTCTTGCCAGTTTTTCGTAATATCATACGCTGGGAGGAAAAGAAAACACAGGTTTTTTAAAAAAGAGCTGGTTGTTTAAATAGAAAGGCTTACGGAATAAACACTGAGGTTTTCTCCATTCCTGCAGGTTCTTCGCAGCAATAGCCTGCTGGAATCAACAGACTACTGGTTGCAGAATCAGAGGACACCCTGCCAAATTGGTTTTGTGGAAGACAAATCTGAAAACTGTGCTTCTGTAAGTATACAGGATGTTGTCTGATGATATCTCAGGATATTATCTTATAAGCAAGGACACAGGCATGTGTACCAGGGTTTAGGACAAAAGTTTCATAATTAATTAAATACATGGTCGAGAAAATATTCTTTTGAAAATATGTAACTGGTTTATATGAACTATTAACATAGCAATGTACAGAGCTAATGTTTTTACTCCCGTTTTACTCATTTTAACAGGTAAAATAATCTGATCAATTCTCTGAGAAGAAAAAAAAATTCATATTTTCAAAAATGGCTGAGAAAAAGATTCAAAATAGAATTGTATAATGAGAAATAAAAGCTTTCTTTTATTAAAGAAATTAAAAAATTTGAATTTAAAGTTCAACAGCTTTCTTGGATTCTCTTCAATAAATTTTATAACCCTTGCCAGTAGGTATTTTCTTACATGAATATTGTGTAAAAATATTCCACTATTCTTGTAAGTTATAGTCACTATTTGAAAACCTTTTCAACCTAAGAAATAAACAGGCATACATTTTCATATACTGGAGCTGAGCTCTTCCTTTTCAAAGGAAGAGATGTTCTTAGAGATAAACGATATAATTCTTACAACTTAGAATGTGAGTAGATATCGTTACAAAATATGCTCCTTTCTATATGTTCTACAAAGCTATATGTTTCCTTTTGATTGAAATCAACTAGCTCTTATGGGGTCATTATTACAGAGATTGGGGGAGAGTGTTTCCAAAGAGGAGAGAATGTAATGTAATTCTCACGACTAAATTGAGAGCATTAGCTCTGAGCTATTCCTGGAGGTAAGTTGCATGCCAGCATTTCTGTTAAAAGCAAAAAAAAAAAAAAAAAGGAAGCTGAAAATGGGATGGGATGCTTTTTATATATAATGAGCAGAACTACAGAACCAGAACTGGCAGACAGAGGATGTAGAACATTTCATGCTGCAGTCTCATAGCACAAGAAATGCAGAGTCTATGCAACAGACTTAAGCCAATCTCTTTGTTTAGGTAAACGATTATGATTCTGCTACTTTCAGTAGTTTTGATTCCTTGTCCAGAAAATTAGTTGCTGGCTACGATCACTTAGGGAAAACAAAAAAGATTAGGTGGCAAGTAACTTAATAGTGATAGCTACTTTGCAAATTCAATTCTGAGATGAGATGGAAAATTCAGGGATTCACTGATACGAATCTCTAATTACATAGCTGTAAATTGTAATAGGGAGAGAAATGGAGAGTAAAATCTGTCATTGGACACACTTTGGTCAGAATTATCATCCAAGCAGCTCCTGTATCAGAAAGTCTCCCACTTGGGGAATGCATAAAAGTCGAGCACTAAAAATTGTGCAGTGAATGCAAAGAGGTCTTCTGAAAACTTTATGTTTTGGGTCCTGGATTGCAGGTCTACAATTAGAAATACAAACTTTTAAAGCCAAATTTAAAGATTACCATTGGATCTTCCTATGTGTAAGAAAACTCTTCCCCCATTCTTTACTAATCCCAATAAACACAAATTCGGACTTAAAACGACATGACTTACCCTCTTAATTTTTTTGTCCCATTATAGTGTCAAATGACATCAGTGGGGTTGAGTGGACTCCTCTTGTCTTTATGGTTCTACCTATTCTTCCCCAAAGTGGGAAACCTAAATACAAATAAAAGGCATATGGGAAGATTTGTTTCTTCCCAATAGTTTGTAGTAATTGAAACTGACATGAACATAAAAATTGAACCTAAAAAAGTTAAAGTAGAGTAGAATGGTGGTTCCCAGGGACTGGGGTGGTGAGAAGGGTGGGATTTGAGGAGATGTTGGTCAAAGGATACAGAATTTCAGTCGCATAGGAGGAATATGTTCAAGAGATCTATTGTGCAACATGGTGACTATAGTTAATAACAATATATTGAATTTTGAAAAATGCTAAGAGTAGATTTTACGTGTTCAAAACACAAAATTGACTATGTGAGGTAATGAAGATGTTAATTAGCTCAATTTAGCCATTCCATAATGTGTATATATATTTCAAAACATCATGTTGTACATGGTAAATATATTCAATTTTACTTGTCAATTAAAAAAATAAAATAAAACATTAAAAAAATTGTTCATGACTCTTAACCTAAAAGAAATTTTAGGATTTCTATGAAAAACTGGCCCTAATCTCTCTGTAGTCACTTTTCTGAAAATCCAAATCCTTTCTCTTTCTGGTTTGGCTCAGATCTCTTGGGTGTGGAGCAGAAACTCAAGTGTACAGAGTTGTGCATTGCTGAGGGGAAACTTTTACTTACAGGAGAAAGAGAAATGAACTACAGGGTGGTGCAGCAGGACAAGGAACTCTTGAGCAAAACAGCCACACAGAAGGAGGAGCCAAAATGGCCAGAGAGGAAGTACTTAATTCCTTTTCAAAACCAATTCTCCGTATCAGCATGAAAATAATAAAACTTGGGGTGGGGAAGGACAGTATATAAAATAGTCTCCTCATTAAAGTTTAATTAAAAATAGTTTCAAACAAGATCGGGTGTGTTCCGGATAGTATGGTAAGTCAGGCACAGCATAACAAATACTGCACGATCTCACTCACATGTGGAATCTAAAAAAAAAAAAAAAAAAAAAAAAAAGTGGTTCTCATAGAATTAGAGGGTAGAATAATGGTTCCCAGACCAGAGTCTGGGAGAGGAGGAGGTTGGGGGACAGAAGTAGTGGATTAATGGGTACAAAACCATGCTATCTACCCTAAGTGAATCATTGTGCAGTATATGCATGAAATTATACACTATCTCCCACAAATATGTAGAAGAAAATGTTAAAATAAATAAATGAAATAGAATGAACACTTCTAAAAAAGTCATATACTTCTGGGCTAGAAATGAACCATTAAGAAAAAGAAAGTTTCAGAAAATCATCACAAACCTACATCTATTTACAAATAGCCACAAACAGAATCTGAAGAACTTGTAGCAAGGCAGTTCCATATTCATTTATAATATGTCCATAATGCTGGAGAATCCTACTCTAAGTTACTTCTTTAACTTGTTTCTTCCTGACCAAAATTAGTAGCTGACTTTTTCATATCTAATTTTGACTGGTTTGATATTCTATTAAAACGAACTCCAGGTATTTAGATTTGTGGTTTCCTAGAACTAAGTACCTCAGTGGTATCAATGTTTTCTAAATTCAAGATATTCACTTAAAAATATTTTTGAAGGGGCCGGCCCGGTGGCGCACTGTGATAGTGCGCCGCTTGGGAAGCGCAGTGGCGCTCCCGACGAGGGTTCGGATCCCACATACAGACCGGCCACTCACTGGCTGAGTGAGGTGTGGGGGCAACGCCGAGGGTTGCGATCCCGTTGCCGGTCCTGGTCCGGTACGGGCGCGACACTGAGGGTTGCGTTCCGTTGCCGGCCACGAAAAAAGACAAAAAGGAAAAAATATATATATATTTTTGAAGGACAAACTCAGGCTTGGAAAACATCCAGGATGTTGTGTGCATGTCTGAGTATAGCAACTTGTTCTCAGGCATCAGACAATGAGTTTTGGTCATTTCTTCAGTATAAACTGCACTCATTTCACAGCTAGTATGAAGAGTCTTCATGAAGAGTGGTTTGAAGCAACCAGAAAAATGATAAAAACATCTAACAAGAGCTGCTAGCCTAGCTGGGAAGTCTGGCTCAGAGACCCCCCTATAGTTACCTTTAATAGTTTTCCAAGAGATATCAAATATGAAACTGTGCTTATGTTTTTCTAAATAGAATGCTCCTATCAAACTATATAATTTAATTTTCTTTCTGATTTGCCCTTCTGAAAAAAAAATATATATTCATATGCTAACCTTCAGGGTTTCTTTAAAAAAAACCTTATTATTAAAAAGAAAGAAAATGAGAAGGAAGATAATAGAATTGGAAGCCAATCTCCAAAGCCCAACAGCTGACACATCTTAATAGAGGTCCTTAACGTAAGTGGTAGGAATTGGATTCTTCAGTACCCTTGACTTTTTTAAAATTAAAAATTAGGTCCGGCCCGGTGGTGCACTGCTACAGTGTGCCGCTTGGGAGCGCAGTGGCGCTCCCACCGAGGGTTCGGATCCCACATACAGACCAGTTCCCGCTCACTGGCTGAGCGAGGTGTGGGAGCAACACCAAGGGTTGCGATCCCGTTGCCGGTCCCAGTCCGGTACGGGCGCGACACTGAGGGTTGTGATCCGTTGCCGGACACGAAAAAAGACAAAAAGGAAAAAAAAAATTAAAAATTAAATTAGTTCTATTTAGTCCTCTGTTGCTTTTTGCTGTTTACTAGAATTTAATATTTGAATTTTCAGGAACCATCTTTTGCTTTAATGTTTCATTAACATTACCTTAACCGTTTATATTATTTCTATTCAGAGTTACTGTCAGGCTCTTTCCTTACGGATCATTTTAAGACTCCCAGCTATCACCCTTCAAACAAATTGTACTCTCTTTCTAGCATGCCCTTTAATTCACAAATCATGCTATTAAAAACGTATTTGCCTTAAATTTGTAAGTAAGTAAACCGAGCTCTCAAGAAGTCTTCAACATGCCACACATAATATTCCAAAACTAAGAAGTCTGACAGATGTTCTGTGTGTCTCACATGCTAATGCAACCCAGTGGCGATGACGACAAAATGACATTTTATATTATTTTTCCAAATACGTCTACAGCCTGTCTATTCTGAAACCTAAAAAAAAAAAAAAAGTTAAGAGATGAATATCTCACTTGATAAGTTGTTCTATGGAAGAATCTAGAGTCTTATGATCAAGGAAATATGTGATTATAGAACTGTGAAGGACATATTAAATTGTCTAGTCCAGATATTTACCAAGTTTTAAATCAGCCTTCAATGCTTTTTTTCTTTAAATTAAAAAATCAAGCCTGGAACTTATTTGATTCTTTAATTTTAGACTCCCAGAAAAATTGTAAGAAAAGTGCAAAGAATGCCTAGACAAATTTAACATTTTACTACATTTGCCTTATCCTTTTCTCTGTGTATG